ACACAATGAAGATACACTCAATCTCTTCGGCGATACGACACCTCGAGATTCCCAATGTTACAACAATTTCTCAATCAAAAAGAAAATAGAGTAAACTTAAGCTATTACAAAGCTTATATCTAACAAGAAAACACTTTACTCTAATCACCTAATACAAACTCATGCAATATAAAGATGTATTAGTTTGAAAACAGAATACATTGAATGTAAAAATCTAATCAAGAAGCATCAATAATATGCATGAACATGTGATATGAAAAGATGAGAAATATATATGCACTCAATCCTAAAGCATAGAATTCTCTCTTTTCTAAACTCACAAATGCATTAACAATTAGATGCAACAATTATCACGAAAAATGCTCTAACTTTCTAAAAATGCAACATGCAACTTCTTAGATTAATTCTGAAAAACGCAGTTTATAAAGAATTAATTCTGAAACTCAGTTAATCGATTAACGAATGCCTTAATCGATTAAACTGTTCAAACAGTTAGATTAATCGATTAACCTATGCCTTAATCGATTAACAGCGTATTTTCATGTGTAAAAAACTCAAATACGTTATGCACTTAATTCATACATGTTTAACACTTAGTTTATGCCTAAAATGCACATATACATGTATTTATGTGATGCATGAACATATTATGAATGACATATCTCAAAATGAAAATGATTTAAACGATTTATGCATATGAGACATGTATTAGGTGACTTAAGCCTTAGACTCAACTTAAACTAATCTCTAGTCTAAGCTTAGTACCAATCAGAAGACTTAAGCACGTTGATTTGTTGATGATCTTCAAGCTCTTATTTGCACAAGTTGTCCTCATCAAAACCATGACACATAAAGAGAGCTTTCCAAAGTGATCCTCTTGACATGCACACTTTCAATCTCCCCCTTTTTGATGATGACAAACATTACATCAAATATATCAACTGTGATGAAATAGCTTGAAGATTGTGTTGGCATGGTTGATATGATGCGCAAATATTTCGGAAGCTGTTATTACGATCAACCTGCACAATCAGAAAACAACAAAACAACCTTTCTCCCCCTTTTGACATTATCAAAAAGATAACCCAAGTCAAAAATAAGGCAGAGATATGAGTTATGCCTAAAACAAAGTCAATGAGTTAATTTGGGATTTAACAATTAACCTGTTTTATTTTGTAGAAAATTGAACAAATGCGCTAGTTTATACAAAAGAAATAGCCAATTTGGTAAAATGAACGGCATACAAGATTTACCATATCCAATCACAATAAGCAGAAAATCTCATATGATCAAGAACCATTCACGTAATCAAAATAAGCTATTCGACATAATCAAAATAACAATAGCATAAAGAGTAAAAGTATTCAGCAACCATACAAACCACGAAATGTCAATCAAGAACATAAAAGAGGCACACAGAAGAAAAACTTGAATCCATAACAACAACTGAATCCAGAAAGTGCCATAAAGAAGAAATAAACCTAATGGTTAGATATCCTAGGTCTAAAGTCTTCTAAGTTATGGTTGAGGTGGAGGATCGTCAATGTGATCAACAGGAATGACAATGTTCTGGTCTCCCCTGATAAGCACAGATAACTTCTGAAATTCTGAACAAAACATAGCATTCTGAGCTTCAGCAGTAGATTGAATCATATTCCTCAACTCCTGAAATTGGTTGTCTGAATAAGCAGTTTGACGCTCTTCATACTGTTCCATACCTGCAAAGTATGAGTCTTTCAACCCTTGGAAGTGAAGATCCATACGGTTGTTAAGCCGTTGCTCCATGGCTTCCAACTGATCTAAACCAAAAGCAGAGTTATGAGGTGCTGTTCCAGAAGGCTCCCCCTGAGTTGTAGCGTGCTGATCACCCATGCCACCCTGATTATCATCATCGGACAAATCCAGACCAATAGTAGTGTAGTCCTCTTGGTATTGCCAAGTAGTACCATACTTGTATATACCCATTTTATGAATGAGGCTTTCACCAACCAGATGATCCTTATTAGTGTACTCAACAATGATGGTATCGAAAACATCAATGTGCAGATAATCAACAATGCGGGAAATGAAAATACTATAGGGAAGCAGCTTCGACTGAGACACATTGTTCATTATTTTCAAAATCTCCTCAGGCCAGTTGATCATTACATTATTCTTTACAGCATACATGAAACGCAAATCATTCACAATAGGCTGTGCGTGATTCGAGTTCCTCTGCACCAAAATGTAAGCAAAAATATAATGCAACAGTCTGTTCTCAACAGATAATGACCCAGCTTTGGTCAGTTGACCCTGAATGTATAAGTGAGGGCCTCTAAGAAATGACTTATAAACCTCAGTAGGATCAAAGTTCTCCTTAACCCAGGAACAATCTCCTATTCCATAACCAGAAGATGATAAACCACCGACATTCATAAATATATCATCATTAAGTTCAAACAGATACCAGTACTTTTCATCCTTATATCTAAAATTTGCATAAAATTCCCTAACTAGAGCAGGGTAAACTTGTCCCTTTAATTCCAAAAATTGAACTGTTCCCTGAGCTTTCATATCATGCGGGAAACTAAAATTTTGTTCCGCCAACCAGGTTAAATCAACATACCTTATGTACGTGGGTTTGTGACCTTGAAATTTTGCCAAACGGGTTTCTTGCAAGATAAGTGAGTAATAGGGGTCATCGCGGTCCCGAGTGGAAGGTGAACCGACTTCCCTTCTTCGTACACGAGTAGCTGAGGTCTTGACCCTTTTTGTGCGACCTTGCTCCATTATATAGTTGAACCCGAAATAACGTTGAATAAGCAGAGAAGGATTTAGGCAAACCTAACCTAGGGTTTTGTTTGGTGGAAAATTGGAAATGGGGTGAAATGAGGATGTGAAATTGTGATTTCTTGATGGTTTGAGAGAGTTAGGATGATGTTTTTCTACTTTAGTGCATTTGGATTAGTTGTGCTACTGATTCAGAAACTCAAAGTATAAGAGAGGTTGAGAAAATGCCAAAAAAAGTGTAAAACCGAATTGCTGTCTGCCTTTAAAATGCTGGTTTTAATCGATTAACGGGCAGGTTTAATCGATTAAACCAATGTAAAATTCGAATTTTTAAAAAAAAAAACTGATGCCTAGGTAATCGATTAACAGCAAGTGTTTAATCGATTAATCATATTAAAAATTGATTTTTAGGCAGTAGAATGGTTTCAACTTTTTAGGGCTCATGCATGCATTGTGACGGATTAATCGAGACATTCATAATCACAAAAAGAGTTAATCAAGAGACATATTTTTGCATTTTAACATATATCATTTAAGCAAAAGACACATAGGCATATAGAGGCAAGACGATAATGCAAACAACTAAACAATTTCAATCGAGATATTGTTCATCAAGAATTCCAAGTTCTCTCCTTAGAACAAAGAAAGTATCCTTGGGAATGGGCTTGGTGAAAATATCAGCTAACTGTTTAGAAGTTTCAACAAATTCAAGAACGCAGTCACCTTTTTGTACATGATCACGCAAAAAATGATATCTAATTTCTATATACTTAGTTCTAGAATGCAAAACGGGATTCTTGGATAGGTTTATGGCACTTGTATTATCGCATTTAATAGGGATCTTTTCAAGTTTAAGACCATAGTCCTTGAGTTGTTGCTTCATCCAAAGGATTTGAGCGCAACACACACCAGCGGCAATGTATTCCGCTTCGGCGGTGGATAAAGCAACGACAAATTATGTGATAAGCATAGCATTGTGCATCAGTTCTCTGCTCCTCGCACTCCACAACAAAATGGAGTTGTCGAGAGGAAAAATCGCGTGTTAGAAGAATTAATGAAAGTAATACCCCAAATACTTCTGGGCAGATGCAGTTCATACTGCATGTTATGTTATAAATCGAGTACTTTTAAGGCCTAATTTGAATAAAACTCCTTATGAACTATTAAAAGGCCGTAAACCAAACATATCTCATCTTCACGCTTTCGGTTGCAAATGTTTTATATTAAATAATGGAAAGCGGGCTTTAGGAAAATTCGATTCAAAAGCCGATGAGGGAATATTTTTGGGATACTCGATTCATAGCAAAGCGTTCAGAATTTTTAATAAATATTCAATGCAAGTTGAAGAGTCTATCCATGTACAATTTGACGAATCTTCTCCAAAAGAGAAGAGAAAGGTCGTATCTGATGATGTTGCAGGTGCTTTGGAAGAAGCATACTCAAAGAACATGGATAATGAAGAAGCAACTAATGAAGAATGTCAAACCAAATCTCAGGAGCATTCAAATATGCCAGTTGTGTGGAAAACCAAGAAAGCTCACCCGATCGACAAAGTAATAGGTGACATATCTACGGGGGTGGTAACCCGTAGTTCCTTACGAAACTTTTGTAATTTTGTAGCTTTTGTATCTCAAATTGAGCCTAAGACCATTGATGAGGCCATTAAGGATGTGCACTGGGGTATAGCTATGCAAGAAGAGCTGAACCAGTTCGAGCATAATAATGTTTGGGACTTGGTCCCTAAACCTAAAGATCATCCCGTGATTGGTACTCGATGGGTCTTCAGAAATAAGCTTGATGAATCAGGCTTAATCATTCAAAATAAGGCACGCTTGGTGGCCAAAGGCTACAACCAGGAGGAGGGTATCGATTATGACGAAACCTATGCCCCTGTAGCCAGATTAGAGGCCATCAGGATGTTACTTTCCTTTGCATCTATAATGAACTTCAAACTATTTCAAATGGACGTAAAAAGCGCCTTCTTGAATGGCTACATTCAAGAAGAAGTTTATGACGACCAACCGCCTGGTTTTGAAAATTTTAAATATCCGAACCACGTTTATAAACTTAAAAAGGCACTCTATGGTCTCAAACAAGCTCCTAGAGCTTGGTATGATAGACTTAGTACATTTCTTTTAGAAAAAAGGTTCGAAAGAGGCTTGGTTGACACAACGCTTTTTATTCGTAAATCAGAAAATCATGTATTACTTGTACAAATCTATGTGGATGACATAATATTTGGATCTACTAATGATTTTTTGTGTAAAGAATTTTCTGAGATGATGCAGGGAGAGTTCGAAATGTCTATGATGGGAGAACTCATATTCTTTCTAGGACTTCAGATAAAACAACTAGAAAGTGGGATATTCATCCATCAGGCAAAATATTGCAAAGAGCTGCTCAAGAAATTTGAAATGGACAATTGTAAGGAAGCTTCCACTCCTATGACATCTGCTTGCTACCTAGATAAGGACGAAAAAGGAAAAGCAATAGAGATAACAAAGTATCGAGGAATAATTTGGTCATTACTTTACTTAACTGCAAGTCGACCTGATATCATGTTTAGTGTATGTATGTGTGCGAGATTTCAATCATCACCTAGAGAATCACATCTTAAAACTGTTAAAAGAATCATGAGATATTTAAAAGGAAAAACTAACATGGGATTATGGTATCCTCGGGATGCCTCACTATCCTTGGTAGGTTATTCCGATTCCGATTTCGCCGGATGTAAATTGGATCGGAAAAGCACTAGTGGTACTTGTCACTTGTTGGGCAGTCCATTAGTAGCATGGCACAACAAAAAGCAAGTCTGTGTTGCTTTGTACACCGCCGAAGCGGAATACATTGCCGCTGGTGTGTGTTGCGCTCAAATCCTTTGGATGAAGCAGCAACTCAAGGACTATGGTCTTAAACTAAGCATATAGAAATTAGACATCATTTTTTGCGTGATCATGTACAAGACCACCCCCGTAGATATGTCACCTATTACTTTGTCGATCGGGTGAGCTTTCTTGGTTTTCCACACAACTGGCATATTTGAATGCTCCTGAGATTTGGTTTGACATTCTTCATTAGTTGCTTCTTCATTATCCATGTTCTTTGAGTATGCTTCTTCCAAAGCACCTGCAACATCATCAGATACGACCTTTCTCTTCTCTTTTGGAGAAGATTCGTCAAATTGTACATGGATAGACTCTTCAACTTGCATTGAATATTTATTAAAAATTCTGAACGCTTTGCTATGAATCGAGTATCCCAAAAATATTCCCTCATCGGCTTTTGAATCGAATTTTCCTAAAGCCCGCTTTCCATTATTTAATATAAAACATTTGCAACCGAAAGCGTGAAGATGAGATATGTTTGGTTTACGGCCTTTTAATAGTTCATAAGGAGTTTTATTCAAATTAGGCCTTAAAAGTACTCGATTTATAACATAACATGCAGTATGAACTGCATCTGCCCAGAAGTATTTGGGGGTATTACTTTCATTAATTCTTCTAACACGCGATTTTTCCTCTCGACAACTCCATTTTGTTGTGGAGTGCGAGGAGCAGAGAACTGATGCACAATGCTATGCTTATCACATAATTTGTCGTTGCTTTATCCACCGCCGAAGCGGAATACATTGCCACTGGTGTGTGTTGCACTCAAATCCTTTGGATGAAGCAACAACTCAAGGACTATGGTCTTAAACTTGAAAAGATCCCTATTAAATGCGATAATACAAGTGCCATAAACCTATCCAAGAATCCCGTTTTGCATTCTAGAACTAAGCATATAGAAATTAGACATCATTTTTTGCGTGATCATGTACAAAAAGGTGACTGCGTTCTTGAATTTGTTGAAACTTCTAAACAGTTAGCTGATATTTTCACTAAGCCCATTCCCAAGGATACTTTCTTTGTTCTAAGGAGAGAACTTGGAATTCTTGATGAACAATATCTCGATTGAAATTGTTTAGTTGTTTGCATTATCGTCTTGCCTCTATATGCCTATGTGTCTTTTGCTTAAATGATATATGTTAAAATGCAAAAATATGTCTCTTGATTAACTCTTTCTGTGATTATGAATGTCTCGATTAATCCGTCACAATGCATGCATGAGCCCTAAAAAGTTGAAACCATTCTACTGCCTAAAAATCAATTTTTAATATGATTAATCGATTAAACACTTGCTGTTAATCGATTACCTAGGCATCAGTTTTTTTTTTTTTAAATTCAAATTTTACATTGGTTTAATCGATTAAACCTGCCCGTTAATCGATTAAAACCAGCATTTTAAAGGCAGACAGCAATTCGGTTTTACACTTTTTTTGGCATTTTCTCAACCTCTCTTATACTTTGAGTTTCTGAATCACTAGCACAACTAATCCAAGTGCACTAAAGTAGAAAAACCTCATCCTAACCCTCTCAAACCATCAAGAAATCACACTTTCACATCCTCATTTCACCCAATTTCCAATTTTCCACCAAACAAAACCCTAGGTTAGGTTTGCCTAAATCTTTCTTTGCTCATTCAACGTTATTTCGGGTTCAACTATATAATGGAGCAAGGTCGCACAAAAAGGGTCAAGACCTCAGCTATTCGTGTACGAAGAAGGGAAGTCGGTTCACCTTCCACTCGGGACCGCGGTGACCCCTATTACTCACTTATCTTGCAAGAAACCCGTTTGGCAAAATTTCAAGGTCACAAACCCACGTACATAAGGTATGTTGATTTAACCTGGTTGGCGGAACAAAATTTTAGTTTCCCGCATGATATGAAAGCTCAGGGAACAGTTCAATTTTTGGAATTAAAGGGACAAGTTTACCCTGCTCTAGTTAGGGAATTTTATGCAAATTTTAGATATAAGGATGGAAAGTACTGGTCTATGATTTCTGGTAATCTGTTTGAACTTAATGATGATATGTTTATGAATGTCGGTGGTTTATCATCTTCTGGTTATGGAATAGGAGATTGTTCCTGGGTTAAGGAGAACTTTGATCCTACTGAGGTTTATAAGTCATTTCTTAGAGGCCCTCACTTATACATTCAGGGTCAACTGACCAAAGTTGGGTCATTATCTGTTGAGAACAGACTGTTGCATTATATTTTTGCTTACATTTTGGTGCAGAGGAACTCGAATCACGCACAGCCTATTGTGAATGATTTGCGTTTCATGTATGCTGTAAAGAATAATGTAATGATCAACTGGCCTGAGGAGATTTTGAAAATAATGAACAATGTGTCTCAGTCGAAGCTGCTTCCCTATAGTATTTTCATTTCCCGCATTGTTGATTATCTGCACATTGATGTTTCCGATACCATCATTGTTGAGTACACTAATAAGGATCATCTGGTTGGTGAAAGCCTCATTCATAAAATGGGTATATACAAGTATGGTACTACTTGGCAATACCAAGAGGACTACACTACTATTGGTCTGGATTTGTCCGATGATGATAATCAGGGTGGCATGGGTGATCAGCACGCTACAACTCAGGGGGAGCCTTCTGGAACAGCACCTCATAACTCTGCTTTTGGTTTAGATCAGTTGGAAGCCATGGAGCAACGGCTTAACAACCGTATGGATCTTCACTTCCAAGGGTTGAAAGACTCATACTTTGCAGGTATGGAACAGTATGAAGAGCGTCAAACTGCTTATTCAGACAACCAATTTCAGGAGTTGAGGAATATGATTCAATCTACTGCTGAAGCTCAGAATGCTATGTTTTGTTCAGAATTTCAGAAGTTATCTGTGCTTATCAGGGGAGACCAGAACATTGTCATTCCTGTTGATCACATTGACGATCCTCCACCTCAACCATAGCTTAGAAGACTTTAGACCTAGGATATCTCACCATTAGGTTTATTTCTTCTTTATGGCACTTTCTGGATTCAGTTGTTGTTATGGATTTAAGTTTTTCTTCCGTGTGCCTCTTTTATGTTCTTGATTGACATTTCGTGGTTTGTATGGTTGCTGAATACTTTTACTCTTTATGCTATTGTTATTTTGATTTTGTCGAATAGCTTATTTTGATTACGTGAATGGTTCTTGATCATATGAGATTTTCTGCTTATTGTGATTGGATATGTTAAATCTTGTATGCCGTTCATTTTACCAATTTGGCTATTTCTTTTGTATAAACTAGCGCATTTGTTCAATTTTCTACAAAATAAAACAGGTTAATTGTTAAATCCCAAATTAACTCATTGACTTTGTTTTATGCATAACTCATATCTCTGCCTTATTTTTGACCTGGGTTATCTTTTTGATAATGTCAAAAGGGGGAGAAAGGTTGTTTTGTTGTTTTCTAATTGTGCAGGTTGATCGTAATAACAGCTTCCGAAATATTTGCGCATCATATCAACCATGCCAACACAATCTTCAAGCTATTTCATCACAGTTGATATATTTGATGTAGTGTTTGTCATCATCAAAACCATGACACATAAAGAGAGCTTTCCAAAGTGTTACTCTTGACATGCACACTTTCACTTTTATGTTTATTTTCTTTATCATTTCATAAGCTCACATGAAATCATTTTATATCTTACCTGAATGTTAATTTTAATGCAGAATCTGAACAAGGGGTTGCACAGGCCATTCTTCGTGGGCTTATAGATTTCAAAAGGGAACCTTGGCCTAGTATTTCAGAAAGTGCTAAAAGTCTTGTCAGGCAAATGTTAGAGCCAGACCCTAAACTTCGATTAACTGCCAAGCAGGTGCTTAGTATGTTTGATCTCCTTTCATACATCTTACTCTGAGCAACACTGAAATTTAGCATCAGGATACCTTTCTGTGATCTGTTTTGCATGCTATTTTCAAGTTAGAAGATGCCAAACTTTAAATGCTTGGTTTATGGTAGTTGCTTTCTTCCCTCCTTTCCGTTATTTGAGGTACAAAGTAGAATGTTTCTATTTATGTTAATATGTTATCATAAGTTGAAATTTATGTTGTAGGTGAACAGAATAGTAAAAAATAGTCAATACATACATTTGTGGGTTTCATCTTTAAAGTCTGACAATCTGATACCTTGGGCTTGATTTATGTGGTTTATGACTATAATGTATATTTTAGATCTCTCAGTCTGAAATCTTTTCCTTCATATCTTGGACTTCGTTTGCTAAAAATATTCTAAAAGAAAATGAAGTAGATAGAATCTCAATTACGTACAGCTAAATTTTTATAGTAGGTAGTTCTTTGTTAATGATTTGAATTACATTATACTTAAGGTTATTATGCTAATGAGTTATGAGAATGAATGCATGGTTTAATTATGTTTTTCTTTTCTTGTTTTGCAGAGCATCCTTGGCTCCAAAATGCTAAGAAAGCTCCTAATGTTCCTCTTGGAGATGTTGTCAAATCAAGACTCAAGCAGTTTTCAGTGATGAACAGATTCAAAAGAAAAGCCCTTAAGGTTGGTTTATAACATATGTTGTTATCTTTAAGCCTGTGGTTTTATTGTATATTAGAGTTAAGATTGAAATTTTGAAAACAGGTCATCGCTGATTTTTTATCTACTGAAGAAGTTGAAGACCTCAAAGATATGTTCAAGAAAATGGATAGTGATAATGATGGTATTGTTTCCATTGAAGAACTAAAAGCTGGATTTCAAAATTTTGGATCCCAACTTGCTGATTCTGAAGTTCAGATGCTTATTGAAGCTGTATGTCAAATTTCTGTTTTTATTTTAATCTATGTTGTCTCAAGTTTCAGCATGATAATGTTGTCACTTGTAGCATCATGTGGTGCATGACCAAAAAAATTCCTTTTTTACCAAAGAAAATTCATTACAGTGCATACATACCATGCAGCAGGAATTAGCACTTATGGCTAACTGATATTATTCCATTTATCATTTTAATTAAACATGTATTATTCAGGCATTTTATAATGGTAAAACCAGTACTTTTTATTATTTTCTGGATTCGGTTTTTGGTTTGACTTTGTTGTTTATACCTCACACTGTTGCACAGTTTATATGTTGTTGAGAAATATATTCATTACAAATTAACAGGTCTACTAATTCCTTAGAAAAATTATAACTAAGTAGATGACTCCAGGAATGTATTTGGATTGAGAATGATACTTTGTTGTAACAAACTTCCCTGCTCTCTTTTATGTACCTATTATTGCGATTTTGATGTTTGTGTTTCATAATTGTTTTCATTTTTGTGTTCACAAAAGAGATGTTGTTCAAATGGATGTAAAATTCCCTTATCGAGCTAGACAGACATCTTAGGTATGCACAACACAACTGCTTTGTAGACAATATATGACTAGTGATTTAAATTGCGGACCGCATCACCTGATGTGGCCACAATATTGTGGTTGTGGTGACTGCCGCAACCGCATTATACCGCAATTGCGGTGTTACTCCGAATCACATTGATGCGGTCACATTGGGCCACAACGCAACCGCATCGGACCGCATTAGGCCGCATTGGACTGCATTATGACGCATCGGATCCAAAAATATTGTTTTAATCACAATAATTCACACTGCAATGGCCGCAATCTGCATCGCAACGACCGCAATGATCTCAATCGCAGTAACTGCAACCGTTACTGCAATCACGAATGCAACCGTTACTGCAATTATGACTGCAACTGCAATTTAAAACTAAAAATAATGAACTTCTGTGTTTGCTTTCTCTACAGTAGTTCATCACGTTCACCTTGTTAATTTTTCTTTTCCCTTGTTCTGTTTTCATGCCATTTGTATTTTCAGCGTTCAAAAGTTTTAACATTCCAGCTCTAAATTTTTCCTGTTTTGTCTTTAAACTATTGTTTATAACAGG